TATGCAAAGACAGCCAAATCTATGTCTTGCCCTTTTTAAATTTGAAAACGGAAAATCTCCGGGCTATGACGGATTTCCAGCTGAATTTTACGAAACTTTTTGGCATATTTTAAAAAAAGATTTTGAAGAACTTGCCTACAAATTTCTTTTTGCAGAAAAAAATACCAGCCGCTCTATGAAAAAATCAATAATTTCACTGATTCCCAAACAAGGAAATCTTACTAAATGCAAAAATTGGAGGCCCATATCTTTAATCGGCGCTGATTACAAAATAATCACAAAAGCGCTAGCCCTAAGACTTGCAAAAGTAATGGAAAAAATTATAGAACCAAATCAGATTTGCGGAAATCCAGGTAGAAACATTTTTTCAAATTTACATCTAGTACGTGATCTTATAGATTACGCTGAATTTAAAAAACTACATAGTTTCATTTTGACCATAGGTCAAGAAAAGACGTTTGATAAAGTCGATCGTGCGTTTCTGCTGTAAATTCTCCAAAAATTTAATCTCAGAGAAAATTTTGTATCTTTTAATAACACCTTGGCTTCCTGTCGACCTCCTTTCTTATAGAAAGGGGTGTTAGACAAGGCGACCCTTTCTTTCTTTTGTTGTACGTTTTTGTCGCCAAAGCTCTGGCTTTAGTGATACGAGCGGACAGCAGAATAAAGGGTTTTCCTAGACCGGGAGCACCAAAACCTCTAAAACTACAGCAATAGGCAAACGATTCGAACTTTTTTGCCAAGGACGTAAAATGTATCTGTTATTTCTTTGAAAACGTAAAAGTCTTCAAAAAAGCAAGTGGTTCAGTGATCAACGCCTCAAAAACCAAGGGTCTTGCTCTTGGTGGTTCTGATCCCGAAATTTATAGGGAATTGGATAACATAGAGTGGAACGACGACACCGGTTTTAAAATTTTAGGTGTTATTTTTTATACCAGATTGAGCAATACTACCGATTTCAACTGGCAAGTAGCTCTTAAGAAAATAGAGAAAAAGCTCAAGTTTCTGGGACTGAAGAAATATATATAATATATATATATATATATATATATATATATATATATATATATATATATATATATACATATAAGTATATATATATATATATATATATATATATATATATATATATATATATATATATATATATATATATATATATATATATATATATATATATATATATATATACGTATATGTATATATATATATATATATATATATATATATATATATATATATATATATATATATATATATATATATATATATATATATATATATATATATATATATATATATATATGTGTGTGTTTTTCTGATATAAGCTTGCATACTATAATTACAGTATTAGTCTTAAAGCTATTTAATCTGAAAAGGCAATAAGTTTTTTTACAGCATTATTTTAAAATATTTCCCTAATTATATCATCAATGGTAGAAATTTAATTTATCAGGAAAGGAAAGTAAATTTAAATTTATTCTATAAAAACTGTAATCATTTAAAAAAAAAAAAAATCTATTTTTTTAGTAATAAACTTTACTTTATATAAAAAAAAAAAAACAAAATACAAAGTCTCCAATTTTTATATATGTTGATTTAAATATGAACATATATTAAATTTGTGAACATTAAATATATTAAGTTTCTTTAAAATAGATTCTCTCATAACAGTTCTGTTTACGCCAAATAAAACTCTGAATCAACGTTTTTGTTTACCATAAATTTTTTTAAGATTCCCTAAGTAAGTACTTTTTTAAGATTTCTATAGTTGGTTATCCCCATGCAATATTAAGCCTGTGTTCTATTTCTATTTATTTTTTGATTAATATGTGTATGTTATCTTATTTGTCTGTGTTGTTGTTTGTTGCAATTGAATATATATTAGCATAGCTTAGATATATAGATAGATATAATTATGTTTATGTCATTCTAGCTTTATATATCAGTATAGCATTAACTACAGCTCAAAGAAGGTGGTTACGAAATATGATCGGATTAGCCAAATTACAGACAACTTTTTATTGAGCTTCAATTGTAGTTCATTTTAAAATTGTTGTTGTGTTTTATATGTTTTAAAGAGTTTTTATTATTGCTTTTACTGTGCTTGATAATTCATTTTCTAAATAATTTTCTTGAAATTTGATAAATTTTTTCTGTGTTTTATTTTATATATATATATTTGTTAAAATTTTCAGCAAATGTAATTTTGATAAACTAGATTTTTTTAAACGTTTTGTTTTGGGTATGTGTACAAATTTATATTGTATATTTTTATATTTATTATTTATATTTGTACATATATTTATATTATACATATTTATTTTGTAATATTCGGTAAGTGATAAGTGAAAAGACAATATTTATGATCCGTTGTTGTTGTTTTTCTTGCCGATTTTTTACAAAATTAAAAAACTTACTAACACTAAAAAAATAGCGTTTTGCAATAACCAATTCGTTAAATAGACTGCGCGCAATTTAAACAATTGTCATTTCCTGCAAAAACTTTATTTTCAGCTTTACCGAGAAACCCGTGAATCGAGTACAACATCTCCGTCTGTAAAATTGCACTACTTAAGCACTAGTGGATCATTTAAAAGCCTTTAAAATGATTCATTTTAAATATAACATGTTATGCGAGTGCACTTACATAAACTTTAAACCACTCAAAATTGAACTTAGAATGCACATGTCTTGTGTCAAGAACCCTACTAAACATAATCTCGTTCTAAACAATTCAGGGACAAAAGAAAGCCCATGTTATTTTAAAATTAAAAAGAACAGAACAGTTTATTAGTAAAATGCCTGGTGAACTTTCTTCGCTTTGCAGGTGAAACTTCAGAACATCTTTTTGGAGATAAATGTGTACACAAAAATTATTTTTAAAAAGTCTTTACTAATGGCAATTCAACTTGTTATATCTATTTTATATCTTGTTATATCTCGCTCATATATCAGTAAACAAAGTCTAAAACTAATTTACTTTGGACTAATTCATTGCTTTATCAGCTATGCAAACATATCATGGGAAAGTACTCAGCCATCAAAACTTAAAAAAATCTATAGTCTACAAAAACACGCATGCAGAATCATTTACTTTAAAAACAGGCGGGAGCATGCAAAACCTATAATGAAAGATATGAAAATAATGAATGTTTTTGAAATAAATATCTATCAGCATTTAACTTTTATGTATCAATTTAATAATAATCTCACTCCTACAAACTTTACTAACAAGTTTGAAATAAACATAAATGAAAACTACTATCTAAGAGCAAATATAAGTAACACATATAAACTGCCTCAAAACCTTAATAAATATACTGAATATAGCATTGCATATCGGGGGCCAAATATATGGAATAGATATCAAAAAGGATCCAAATGTATGGCAAAGTCATTAAGTTCATTTAAGTTTCTGATAAAAAAAGAAATTTTTAAAATTTGAATATTATTTGTGCTTAAAAGGATTACAAAGTAATTTTCTTTATAATCTTATTTATTTGTTTTTATTGATCAGCGCAGCAGTTTTATGCCCATTAGGGTTTTTAATTTAATTTAATATCCATAACCTAATGAAAATGTATATAGGGGGCTCTATGAAAAGATTGCGTTTTGTCATCTTCATCTTCTTTGAGCCCCTGCCTGTTTAACTCTTTATTTTATAAAGATCATTGTAAAAAAGTATAGTTTATTTTATATACTGTATATACAAAAACGGTGCTTGTTGACAAGATTTTACTGTCTTCTTTGTTATACGGACATATTTCTTTCTTTCTTGTATATATATGTGTTGATTATATTTGTTAAACAGCAAAATAAATGTAAAAAAAAAAAAAAAAAAAAATTCAGTTATTAATACAACGGAAATTTCCGTATTTGAAAACTTAGCTACAAATACGGAAAATTTCCGTACACAATGGACCGATACATCCATACATGAAATAATGGAATAGATTTCCGTTTTTTTAACGAAAACTTTTAACAGTATATAATTTTTATCTTTTTGGCAAAAATTCCCTTGTTTTTATATGAAGAAAGTTTACAAGGGGTACGTTGTTTCATCAAAAAACTATTTTGATGTTACTAGAGTTATATCAAACAGGTAATGACTGAATTTAAATGTATAACTTTGTTTTGCTTTGTTATTAAACTAAACTAAATCCGTGTTTCGACGCCAGTTCTTGCCCAACAAGCGACATTGGTATGGAAGGAGACGTGAACTTCTTGTTAAATGCTTTTCTGCGGTACTCTGTGATAACACCGTAAGGACTTCTAAGAGCACCTAAAAGAATTACAAATAAAATTTAGATTCGAAGAGGACTTCTGATTTTTTTTTGATGAAATTCTTCTAATATTCTTAAAACTTATTGTCCAGTTTCCTTAAGACACAGCAATAATTGCACTTTATATAAAAAATTAGTTTTTTCTGACATGATACAACTTGAAATATAAATACACAATTTTTTTAAAATAGATTTGGCATTTAATATAAACAAAATGATTTACATTTAATTGCAGATTTTCTAAAGTCTAGTTTTTTTGTTAAATAATACCACCACCTTTTTCTAATTTTTTTCACTACAAGCAAAAATCAATTCACGCTCTATAAATCAGGCTAATCAGGATTAAAATAATTGTCTAATAACGCAAACAAACACTCGTCGCAAAAAAAATCGCTAAGAAAGTTACAATCAAAAACGCCACGAAAAAGAATTGCGTTGTTCGTTGAAATTGAACAAAAAAGTACACTAAAGTTAAATAAAAATACAACATTACAAGAAAGGTACATTAGGTTTTGAAAATTTTACTCCTTATTATGTTAGTTAACTATTAGGCAAATATAAAACTGGGCAGACGACACAAATGGGGGAGGGATTATTTAATTAAATTAAATTAAAAAAACTATGCAAAAGAAGATATTATCATCGAGGAATTGACGTCAAAGGGTGATTAAAATATTTTAAAATAATAAAATATAAGCCTAGATTTAAAATTTAATTTAAACACACATTATTGATAATGCTGATTCCGTCACACATCAGTAACCTTGTCCTTTATATAAAGATGCGCCATTTCATCATTCAATTCAGATCTGCTGAACAATTGTGAAACATTGCGATACAAACAACAGAAAAAATTATGGTAATAAAAAAAACTTAATTTTTTTTTACTATTTTTTTCGAAATAAATTAATGTAATTATAAACAAAACACTTAATTTATGAATAACGTTTTCTTTTTAGAAATTGATAGTTGGTATTGTTTTACTATCTGTGGTTATACATGGGCAAGCTTTAACACCCTATATGCAAGGTGAATAAAAAAAACTTTAAATTTAATCAAAATTGCTAAAGTTTTTATTCGCGTAAAGCTGACTAAATAATGAGTAATTGCATTTGCATTTTTTTTATTCACCCGACCTTATATTTATTTAAAAATATTTAATCACGAAATTAAGTTTTTTTTTGTTTTTGTGTTTACAGATAATTATTTCCTCACTCAGCGTAGTAAAGGAGAGATCCTAAAAATTTGCATTTCTTAAAAAAAAAAATTTACATTTTTATACTACCTTTTTTTTTTTTTTAGTTTTCCGCTTATTTCGATTATTACTGTAATACAATTTTAAAAAGAAGAGTTTAAGCTTTTCTTATATAATTTTTTTTTTTTTTTTTTAATAAATCGTTATTTAACCTAAGCATCAAGCAAAACAAAACTACCACTAAAAGACATTAAACGCATCGGGGCAGCGTCATATAAACAGCTGAACTAAATTTGTTAAGGAACATTCCAAAAAATATTTAATAAATGACTAAAAACGTCTTATTTTATCTTTCCATAAACAGTAAAAGCGTTGAAGTTGAAGTTTTCACATTAGTTTTCACGCATAGCAATTTACTTCCATAATCTCTTTATAGTTGTTTGAATAAAATACTTAACAAAAACGTTTCAGCTTTTATACAACTTCTGTCCCATAGTATTAAGCTAAAACTTCAAACTCTTAGATAATAAAATCACCAAATATTTGTAAACAAAACAAAACAATGAGCTTCGTGATTTTTAAAAAAAAGTAAACTAAGCACTTTTTTTTGATTTTTAACAAATTACTTAATATTGCTAAAATATGTTTTTATCTTTATACTAGAGTTTGTTAAAGAAACAGATGAACAGGCACTGAAGAAAAGTAACTTGGTTGCGGTTTTGCCAAAATTAGAAAAATCATTTATTGTTTTTTTTCAATTAAAACTGAACAGTTTTTCAAATGGTTATAGAAGTGTCATTCATTTGACTCTTGGAGAGGATAATACAAAATACGGTGATCGAATTCCTGGCGTTTGGATTTATGAACAAAAGTTGCACGTAGCATTTGCAATAAATGATAATAAAAATGAGTATTTTTTTTCCAAGCCACTTCCATTGAACAAGTGGATAAGTGTTTTTATATGTCAAGAGAGTGCTCCATTTTTACCTACTTTTGAAGTTTATATTGATAAAGAGCAAGTATATTATACAGAAAACAGAAATCAAAAAGTATTTACAAACATCAACGTATATGCTGGAGATCCGTGGTATGAAGTCCAAGATGGCTCTATCAAAGAATTCGCAGTCTTTAACTTCCCTCGTGGTGAGTTTTGTTCACTTTAGTCTTAAGTTTTATAACTAGTTATGTCTAAAATGTTTTAATTGAAACTTTTAATTACATCGTATACTAGATAGCAGGGGTTATAAAAGCGATTTAAGAATGATTAGATAATTTTTTTTTCCTATTTGTTATCTAGTAGTTTAGCGGTAGCTTTTGTACTCGAATTTTATTGAATGTGAGTTTTCATAATTTTTCTCTAAATTTTCAAACTAAATAGAAAATCGGTAATTCAATACCGCCGGTAAATAAAAAAGACGCAACTTTACAAACTTTATTATGTTGTCGTAATATATAAAGGTCACTATGTAGCTTACAATGTTTGTTTTTTTCTTATCAAAAAAGTTATATCAGTTTTATAATCTAAAGAAACTTTAAGATACTTAAATTATATTGAAGTTTTTTATTGTTAAATTATTATAGATTGTGTTAACCTGTTTTTATAATGCATACTTTGTTTATTTCTTTTTAATTCTTTTAATTTTTTTATTTAGTAGCGAAAAAGAGTTTGGTAAAGGATGCCATACATAGAAAGATGTTTGGGCTCAAATTTTAAAGTGGAAAAACGACTTTTTTCTGCTTTGAATTTGTACTTTTTTATTTCAAATATCTTAAATATATCAATTCGTATTCTATATATTATTTTATAAAAAGAATAATTTTTCCTTTAATTTCGATGGTATTGATCTTGAAAAAAAAATTAAAAAGTATTTTAAATTACTTATACTTTATGTAAAAAATAACCGTGGTTTCAATAAAACTTCAAATTTGTTCATGATAGTAACGTGAGTTAAAAGAAACTTATTATTTGAAATACATCAAGTATATAATCATAGGCGTGTAACAAATTTTTAATTGCTCTTTTGAAGTTCATAGCGCGACTTCAAAAAGTCAAGATGAGAAAAATTATTCTTTATTATTCCTATTTTAACATTCTTGTTGTGATTTCTAAATAAGATGAAAAAATTAATTCATTATACAAGGCTTAAAATCGTACTTTTCAAAAAAATTGCAACTGGACCAACCGATTTGCTAACAAATAGTAGCATGTGTTTTTAAATGTAAAACAACATACCGTAGACCAAAACCATAAGTCTGTATGCATGTTTTTGTAGAGTTTAACTTTAGGATAGTAAAAGAAAGAATGTATTAGGCCAAAATAAACTATTTTTAAACTTTCTGATGTTGTATATGGACAAGTTCGGTATACAAAACCAACTGCTTTATTATATTTTGTTTGAATGTAAAATATGTAAGAAAACCATGATATTTTTTTGTCAATAAGCATTCCTTAGAATTTTATTGACTCATTTTTTCTAATTAGTTTATCATTTAAAATCGAAGCAGGTAATTTTTTATGAAGGATTTCATCTTGTATTTTTCTATGGAACAAAATATTAATAATAAAGTTTTATAATAATAAAATAATAAATTTTTATTTTATCTAAAATGAGTTTATTAGCCATTTCTTGAAACTAGTAGTTTCAATGTATGGTTTAAGGCTAACAAAACCAGACCCGTAAAACGAGTCTGATTCACACCAGTCGTTTCTGTATTTATTCTTTAAAAATTTTAAAAGATTTTTAAAAGTTATAAAGTGAAGGGTGCATAATACTCAAGTATTATATATATATATATATATATATATATATATATATATATATATATATATATATATATATATATATATATATATATATATATATATATATATATATATATATATATATATATATATATATATATATATATATATATATATATATATATATATATATATATACTTTTATACAAACACAGTGGATAGAAAACGCTTATTTGTAGTAAAATAAAATCAAAAAAAAAAATAATAAAGAAAATTGGATTTATTAATGATATTAATGATTATTTAGTAATTTTTTAAATTTTAATAAATTCCAGTAATGGTTAGTAAATAATTGTTTAAAAATCTTGGCTATTGCGTGATAAATCTTTCAGGGTTTTTTGATTAATAATGTCGTTTTTAATATTTTGACACTACTCTCCTCTTTCTAATGTTTTATCGGCAGGTGAAAAAGTTATTTTAATTGAAAGTAATTATAGTTGAAATCAAGAGTTTTTACCAAAATAAAATGCATAATAGATTTGCTAATACAACTTTGTAAACTAGTAAAAAAAAATATTTTATTTATTTATTCATAAATTAATAAATTATAACAATCATCTATTCTTTGATTAAAGTAAAAGCTCTACGCACACACGTTAAGTGTCATGGACAAAGTTTGCGGATATAAACATAGATCTATAAAATGTTCTGCAAGAAAATAACTTAAAAAAAGACACAATGTTTACTGAGGACAGAAAAATTGTAAAGTTCATAGAGCAATTTAAAAAAGAAAATATATGTAACTGCACAGAGCATTTCAAGTAGAGTAATCATGGCCGGTGCTTTAATTTTTTTGTTCATTTAGTCGGCAAATTTGACCCTTTTTGACTAGATAGTCGGCAAATGTAGACCCTTTCGACCAATTAGTCGTTAAACTTAGATACTCAGTCGGTAAGTGCTGTTATGGCAGTCGGGAAATATTAAAAAACGGATCTTTTATTTTAATTTTAGTCAGCAAAAGTTGCAATGGCACCCAACACCCCCCCACCCCCCCTCCTTACGTGACATCTACTCGCGCCGGTCTTGATAGTATTAATAAACCATTTTTTTCTGTTACAAATCATTAAAACTATAACAAATAAAAAATAATAATCGACAAAATATTAAACTATTTAATAAGTTAAAAAAATAGTTATTATCATTTGTTATCAAAACATTTTAATATTAAATACAAAAGAAAATTATAATTATTATGGTTTGTTAACTTAGTTAATAATATTAAATACAAATGAAAATTGTAATTATTATGGTTTGTTAACTTAATTAACAATATTAAATACAAATGAAAATTGTAATTAAAATGGTTTTTGACCATAGTTAATTATATTAAATACAAAAGAAAATTATAATTATAATGGTTTTTTTAACTTAGTTAATAATATTAAATAAAAAAGAAAATTGTAATTATTATGGTTTGTTAACTTAGTTAAAAATATTAAATACAAAAGAAAATTGTAATTATTATGGTTTGTTAACTTAATAACTTTTTAGTCTTCAAAATCAAGCGTATGTTCCAATCATTTTGTAAGTAGTTGCTTCAACTATCCTAGACTTGACCTGACTTAAGAAAGTAACAAATAAAATTCTAACATCCACTAGTTTCCCTTTGTTATATTAATTATGTCATAAAAGAAACTTAGCGGCAAAAACAAAATTAGTTAAAAATATTTAAAACAATAATTCTTCATAAACTTAAATAACTGTCATAGTACAATATCTTATGCTATTGTTATGCATATTTCGTTTTCAAATTACTAATTATTTACTTGTTTTATGTCTCAAAGCTTCTCGATGGCAAGACTTCTTCAAGTCTTCTGCGAGTTTTCTTACAACATCACAATTATTTCACCAATTTATCTTATCAAATTTTTATCATAAAATATATAAAGCATATACTTTGTACTTAACGCAGTGTTACAATATATTATTAACGATTTATATATGTATGCATTTATTGCTGTTTTCTGTATGACTATATATTATTCAAGAGAAGGAATTGTAACAATAGTTTATAAAGTTGTAAAAAAATTATGAAAAAAAAAAAAAAAAAAAACCTTTAGGGTATTATTTTTTGTCGAAACTTGGTTTGATTTAAGGAAATTTATGCATTCATACAAAATTTTCCCTTCTAGATAAAGGTATTTAAGTTCTTAGGCAATAGCAACCGCCTTAGCGACGCTTTTTTTAAATATCTCTGGATTAAAACAAGATTAAGATATCTATTTTCCACCAAAAAGGCTTCTTTTTATTCTTTTAAATATCTTTGCTTAATTAGTTTATAAGCTATACACTGAAGCCCCAAAAACTGTTCTCAACTCCTTAGACCATTAAAACTGAGTTTGATGAAGTAAAAACAACTTTTTTATAAATTCCATATATCTCTGAAATTTCTATATTAGTTATAAGAAAACTAAATAGTTGAAACTAATATGAATAAAATCGGACAAGAATTACCCCGTGTAGCAATTTTTGGTCAAACTAGACAAGTTTTCAGAGTTTTCCATACTTTAAATTTTTTATTTCAAATATTGTTTTGTAGTATCCCTTTCAAAATTATTATTTCTAACTTAATAACATACTAACTCAAAGGAGTTGATCTGGTGAATTTATTACACAATATTAACAAACATAAAGTAAAAGTATCACTAAACAGTGTTATAATGTGCCTTTGTGATAAATATTGGCATACTTTTTCTTAATTGCAGGCGGACACGTATTTTTTCTTAATTGCAGGCGGACACGTATCACAGCTCTATCATAATCACTTTTTACTTGCCGCAACACAAGGCAGAAATAGCTGTCGCCATCTTTACACGAACGTTCTACAGCTTAGGTGTGGCTGGGTAACTTTTCCGAAAAATTAACTTGGCAGATGTCAAAAAGGTAAAGCTGATCTGTACTGAGCACTTTTTAATCCACCTCAGGCATTTCTACATTTTGGTTTATAGGTCGGAATTCAACAACCTTTAAGATCTCATAAGTTTCATGGAACTTTCCAATATTCAAAAAACATAAATATTTAAGCTGTTTATAAAGTGTCTTTAAGAAAAGTAAGTTTTTCTATGTTTAGTAAGTAACTTATTTTAATTGGTAACTAATGTCAAATTTATTATTTGTACAACTAAAACTTTTATCTTTTGCTTTTTTAGTATAAAATGCACAAATTTATTTACTTTTCTTAATAAAAGAGAGTCTATCGCATTGGCTTTAAAGATGGTATTGCTGATGATGGATTGTTTTCATCTATAGCAGGCTGATTTAAAGTACTGAGTGTTGCAGGAGCAATAGAATCTATTTTCAATTTTTTGAAAACCTAAAAATGTAAGAGCTGTTTTAGATCTTGGCATTCTATTTACTTAAATAAATTTAGCAAATTTTTTAGTATATTCAGGAGCAAGCTTAGCTTTTTAAAGTGGTTAGTCAAAAAAGCCGGTTGCAGATTTCACCGCCCTCTCCCCACGGAAGAATGGCAGCGGAGGGGGGATGCAGGTGAATTACAAAAAAAAAGCACCTAACCCATATGTTTAAAAGTGCTCTTTGTATTTCACAAGATATTATACAATCAAATACTGCTTTGCACTTGAGGATATAGTTAAAATATAGTGATAATAAAATAAAGTTTAATTAGTATGACTATCATACTATGAGAAATGTTATAACACAATAGCAATAACATGATAACTTACCATAAAAACCAATTTTGTTATTTTATTCCATTGATAGATATGTTATATAATGTTCACAGTTAGGAAAAATCTGATTCAACCCTTCCCGACGGGTATTTGTTTTTAAAAGTTACGTTCTAAGTGTATTTTAAATGTCTTTTAAACGTCTTCTAAACATTCTTACGCAAAAAACGTTTAAAAGACATTTAAAATACATTTAGAACGTAACTTTTAAAAACAAATACCCGTCGGGTTAAGTCAGTTCCCGAGAAAACCGCGATATACCTGTGAAAGATTATCACCATGGGATTATAAAATTGTAAAA